TGAAAATTTTTGCTTGTGCCCCTACTTGTCCAAGCTTTTTGACTAAAAGTAAGAAGTTGTCCTTGAAATGATGCTAATTTAATTAAGATATGTAAAAGTTTATGATTGTGGGAGATCCTGTTCCATGCCTGTTTTTGGTCCTCAGAGGGTGCCATACTTTCACACCTGCAGACAATGTGTCCCGACAAGGCTCCAGGCAATTTATGAGTGATGACTCTCCTTCGATGCTGGAGCATTACCCTGCTTATAGTTCGTGCTCGTAGCCCTTTGTGAATCTCTAAGTCTTGTGATTATTTGCCTTTCTCCTGTGAGCTTTCCGGTGAACCTCCTGAGACCTACCTGAGTATTTGGATCTCTTAGTGAACCTCTGGAAACCTGTGTGCCCTTCAGCTCCTCTCCTCGCTCTCCAACCACATGCCCCCCTGAGCACATTGGATCTTCTCATGATTGTACAGGACTTTGGAACTATACATCTGACCAACCATCTACCGGTAAGGGCATGTTCTGAGTAAACCCCCTTTGCTGAACTCTGGACCTGACACATCTCCTTGCTCCCTAGGGTTCCAGTTTCATCCTGAATTATTACTCACTGTAAATAAAAGCACTAAATTGATATTTCTGTGTCTGGGTTGTTTATCATCAGTCCTTTCACTATGGGTATTCTTGTGATATTGATATTCACAAGCAGTGTTGAAAAGGGGGTACACCTAGTTCCATTTCTGCCTGTTGCTTAGAAGAAAGATAAAAATCACTGACGTTTATGTTTTTAAATTCAGCATTATAAGCTAGGGGCATGTCCTCCCAATGGTCACTATAAAACTCTGGCAATAAGCTGTGGGGGTGTCATCTGGGGTCATTATAAGCAATATAACTGCAGACTGGAAAATTATGCAGAGGTAATATAAAGTTATCACAGAATTAATTGAAGTTTCATTTACTTTAATTGGTGTAATTGGCCAGAGTTCTGCAAGTCTTGCACGTGACTGATGCAACTGAGGTCTCACAGCTTTCTAAAGACATCTAAAAGTTTCATTTCAATAAGCCGAATGGATACTTAGAGTTAGTAATGTGGCAAAATAACTTTCTATGATCCACAATCGGAGTACCTTATTATAAAAATCCTTGCAAGTCACTAAACCTCAGTTGAAAAGTAAGATCATTTCAACATTATAAACTTTTTACAGCAGTTCTTGATTGCGTTGGTTAAGACATTTTTTCCACTTGCTCATTTAGGCTTCACAAGGCCATTACTCATTGTTACAGCTTCAGTTACTAAAGGTTTAGTCCACCACCCCAAGGCAAAGAGGACAATGCTTTTTTTTTTTTTTTATACATGTCTCTGTGAGTATGAACTTGACTGTACAGCTAGCAAAACATCTTATGAATCATTGAACAGATTTTAATGAAAAAATCAGAAGGCAATCATAGGATGAACACCTACAACAAATTACTTGTGAAGTCAACACTATCCAAGACGGCTGCCACAGCTGAGCAACCTGAGAAAACAAAAATGGCTAAAACTTAGCCAATTTGATAAATATTGAGCTAAAATATGGTGTGGTAGTAAATAAGAGTCATTCTAAACACATAGTTCAAGCATTATTAAGTCATCTAAGATCTTACAGTATAGCATGACTTTGTGTGGATTTTAACTTATGAGGTTTTACTCAACAGACAAAATGAATTCCTTCAAGGAAATGTTATTTCTTTATTCAGACAAAAGTCTTAATGGTAACCCAACTTGTGTTTCTGAGGACAATAGTCTAAGCTGGGAAAGGCTGAAATGTTGCCAACATTTTCCAAAACTGAGCAAGAAACTGATTACTGTTAAAGTTAGAGCACCGTGTTTTAGTGCCTCTGAAGGTGTTATGTACAAAAAAAGAGTGTTGACAAGATAAGAAGGTGAAAAAGTCTCTTCTTGTGGATCACTGAGTGCTTATGAGACAGAGGGGGTCATTTCATCAGTGCTGACATTGTTTGTGTGGAAACCTGTGACATGTTAAAATGCTTCCATTCAAGTGGAGACATTACCATTGAGAACTAGTAAAAGTACATCTTGTGTGTTTTTTTTTTTTTTTTTTTGGTTGTTGTTTTTTCTTGTGGATTGTGATGACCTGCTGTGAACTTTGCTGAATTAGGAAGTGAGGCGCAGTGGGATGCAACTCATAACTTCCAGGTCATGTTGGCTAACCTGCAAGACAGGTAGGTTCAGTAGGCTTAATGGAAAATATTGCAAAGTTACTGCTGAAGTTATAAATAACAAAAACAGGGGATGCAATGGGCTAGGTGAGTGGTTCTTAAACTTTTTTGTTGTTGTTGAACCCTACTATGGTTTGTTACTGTATCAAAAAAGACAACTTGTTTTTGTGGCATTTATTGGGAGATCTTTTCCTCCTTTGGATGGAAGAATTTTCAAAAATTAACTGCACTTCTTTAGAAAAATAATTGCAGACTGTTACATCAGCCTCAGGTTATTAAAGCTATTATTAAATTAATTATTAAATAAATAGAAATATTATTAAAAAAAAGGTGCATTTAATTGTAGAACCAGACAACCATCCATCCATTATCGTTACCCACTTCTTTCTTTCTGGGTTACAGGGATCACTGTGCCCATGTCCAGCATTTGAGAGGCGGGGGGCAACCCCGGACAGGTCTCCAGTCCATCACAGGGACACATGGAGACAAACAACCATGCACACTCTCACTCACACATAGAGACAATTTAGAGTCACCAATCAGCTGAACATGCATGTTTTTGATCTGCGGAAGGAAACCGGCATGCACAGAGAGAACATGCAAACTCCATGCAGAAAAGCCCGCTGCTGGGATTTGAACCGGGGCGACCTTTCTCACTGAGAGGCGGCAGCTCTACCAACTGTGCCACCATGCTGCCCAGCATGTCAAATATAAATTTAAATGTGCTCAGTTTGATCACAGTATTAATGGAAGCAAAGGGTGTAACGTCACTGTCCTATATTTAAAGAGAAAAATAATAGATTTGAATTTGTGCCAAAAGAGTTTTTTTTTTTTTTTTTTTCTGAAGTATTACTTAGTAATCACCAATGGTATTGTATGCATCTCTTGTTGGGACTTAGTGCTTCAAGTTTACCAAGGCCAACTTTTAAATCAAGTGTGTTTGTTTTTAACTTAAATGGCTTTCTAACGTTACTGTAGTGAAATGTTTCAAATGGTGTTATTAATCTTTTTCTTTCATACTGTAAGTTGACAGTTTTCTCACACAATCTTTTTTAGTCTCGTACCCTTACTGCAATTCTATAACAGATATCTCCTCTGTCTTCTTTGATTTGAAGCAGCTTTGTTTCATTTCACAGTGAGTCCACATGGACATGCTAGCACATGTCGTGAGGAAACAGAGTTTGCACCATTTCAAAGGCTGGTATTTTTTATATTTTGGTTGTCCTGCTCAGATTCACTTTTTTGTTGTTGTTTTTATTCAGTCATATATAATTTAATATTAGACATATATAAAAGATCACAATAAATATAGGAGGTAATTTCTGGCATAACACAACAATTTACCAAAGTAGAGAGATTGTGTTCTCTGTGAAAATCCAGTGTAAATAGTGAGTGCTGAAATTTGTGGAATAAATTAAAACTGAGTTGTTCAAGATAAAAGTTGTGAAAACGCTAGATAAAAGCTGAAAGTGGTAAAAACACGAACTAAAAGTACCAAAATACAACTAAGAGTAAAGTTTACAGTGAGTGACTTAAAACCTAAAAGTAGCAAAATAGCCGCTAAGAGTTAGACATTACAAAATGCATCAAAAACACTAGCTAAAAACTAAATGCTGCAAAATGCTAGCTAAAAGCTAAATGTAGCAATAGGCTAGCTAATTGTTAAAAGTACTAAAATGTTAGCTAAAAGTAACAAAAAGGCTAACTAAATGCTAAGGGGACCAAAACCTAAATTCTAACAGTATTAACATGAAAACTAGAAGCTAAAATATGCTAAAAGCTAGCTGAAAATTAAAAATAGAAAACTGATAGCTAAAAGCAGCCATGGGTTAAGTGAAAGCAAAATATAGCAACACGTTGCCAAAAAGCTAAAAGTGGACCTACTCTCCACATCGTGCAGCATGAGGTTTGTCTAATATTCATTGAAACAGTTTGTGCAACACAAAAAAGTAAACTTGACCTCAAGTTACAACAATGTATAAATATGAGTTCCTCCTACAACTGTCTTGACAGAAAAGAGTTGTCACCCCACGCACCACCACCACCACCGGGCTAGGCTATGACAACTATGATTACATTTTCCACCTTCTTTGCCTCTCTCTTTCACTTTTCCATAAAACACCATCTGCTTGGGTATTTTAATCACACTGTGTTTTCTGAGTGTGCTATAAGCACACCACATATGCCTCTGGTCAAGACGATACAAACATACTAAGTGACTGCTGATGCTGAATGGACTTAAGAGGCAATTTGAGAATAAAGGAAAACAGGTAGAGGGTCAGAAAACCAAGTGAAACACCGTCTCCTCCAAGTGCTTTTTGCAATACGAATTCTCCTCTCATTATCGCTGCTGGGAGACATAAATGTTGCCAAATAAATCTCCAACCGTTTTCTTACGTTCAGGGACAGTATCATAGAGAGAATGTTAGAGAAAGAGAGCGAGAGAAAAACAATAACTGCAAGCTTTTGAGCATTTACCCGAGAGAAAAGAAAAAGCTAACCACATATAAAAAGTGGGGGAAAGAACGAGACAAAGATTGCGAGAGCAAAGGCTAGACAATCGGAGGCAAGAAGTGTAATTAAAATGAGTTAAGAGGGAGAGCGGGATATCAGAAAGAATAAAAAAATGGCAAAACTGTCAAGTAAATAAAACAAACCTTACTAAGTCACATAAAAAACAAATGTTCATTGTGGATTGTATGTACGTAAAATACATATAGAGTTCTATTTACCAATAATGACAATGCACACACTTTGTATGTTTGTATTTCCAAGATTATGTCTGCAGACACTCATCTTACCTTGATAATGTGCACTGAAACCTCGGTAACGGTGGTTGCTATCAGACACAAAATGCAGCCGAAGCCAGTTCTTGTTGCTAACAATCGGAGCGGGGACGTTACTGCCTGACAACCTAAGAGAGAGACAGAAAGAATCTGTTTAACAGAGGAAAACCATGCATGCACGTCTTCACATGGGCTTTAAAAAGTCTTTATCCATTTTATTCAGCATTATAATACGAAGGATGAAGACTGAACTAAAGACAGGTGGTTTGCTGTGTCCGCAAAAAGTACCATCACACATAAAATCATATTATTACCCAGTAAAGCCTTTAGAACTAAGTGGTCTCAGTCCAAAAACATAAAATAAATAACATGGTTTAGTTTTGTGTACTTCCACATCTGTCCATGCTTCCAAGGCATGCATGTATGTGTATTTGTGTGGGGGAAAAAAGGTTTTCAAAGTCTTACTTAGTGAATCATTGTCTGTTTTGGCCCTGTAAACTGTTTTTGACTGTGCTGGCTATTTCAACCAGCATTTTACTACCACTTTGTTGGAGTAATTTTGGATTTTGCTGCATCCTAAAGGGGTTTCTCACATTTGTAAAGTAGAAATATGTATTTTCTATTCATTGTTCAATCCAAGATAACTCCTTGGTTGGTAGGGGATTGCAACTCTGAAACTCTCATCTTAAACCCAACTCCTAGCGTATTTCTGGAGCAAGAGTCCTCTTACGTCCGTATGCTCTTTGTGGACTTCACATCCGCCTTCAACACCATGATCCCCCAAACCCTGATGGACAAACTATCCACACTAGGACTAAGCCCCTCCATTTGCAACTGGGTACTAGACTTTTTAACAAACAGACCACAGTTAGTGAGGATCCACAACCTCTCCTCCTCCACCATAACCCTCAGCACTGGCTCTCCTCAGGGATGTGTGTTGAGCCCCCTCCTGTTTACTCTGCTCACATATGATTGTGCAGCTACCCATCCAGGCTGTCACATTGTAAAGTTTGCAGATGATACAGCGGTGGTGGGATGCATCACAAACAATGATGAGTCCAGCTACAGGCAGGAGGTGGAACACCTGGAGAGCTGGTGCAAAGAGAATAACCTTCACATCAATGTGAAGAAGACAAAGGAGATGATTGTGGACTTCAGAAGGAACAAAAACACCTACACCCCCCTGAACATAAGAGGATCTGCGGTGGAAGTGGTCTCCAGCTACAAGTACTTGGGTGTACACATGAATGACAACCTCAGCTGGAGCAACAACACCACCAGCCTGATCAAGAAAGCTCATCAGAGACTCTACTTCCTCAGACGGCTGAGGCGAGCTGGTCTGGGAAGCTCAGTCCTCACCTCCTTCTACAGGTGTGCAGTGGAGAGCATCCTGTGCTCGAGCATCAACGTGTGGCATGGAGGCTGCACAGCTGCAGAAAGAAAAGCTTTGCAGAGAGTGGTGAAGGCTGCACAGAAATCTGTTGGAGTCAGTCTCCCCACCATCACAGACATCTACACCTCCAGATGCAGGAAGAGGGCCACCTGCATCATGAAGGACCCCACCCACCCAGCACACACACTTTTTGCCCCACTCCCCTCAGGAAGGAGGTTAAGGAGCATTAAGTGTAGAACCACTAGACTGAGGAACAGCTTCTACCCTGAGGCTGTTAGACTCATGAATCTCTAACTAGAATAATCACTGTGAAAAACCATATCATGTTGCTGCTGATCTGTTTCATGTTGCTGCTGATCTGTTTCAATGTTGATGTGTTCATGCGTGCACATCTGCTCACAGACTCATGTTCATGTTTGTGGTGATGTTCAATGTTTTATGTTATGAGTGCTTAGTGTATATTTAGTTGATGTTTTTCTTAGTTCATATCTTAGATGTTATTACTGTTTTTCTTATACATTTTATTGTTGGATGTAACTGGGACCCCGTGTACATAATTTCGCTCCACCACATGTACCACATGAGGTGCGAATGACAATAAAGAAACTCTGACTCTGACTCTGATTATTTATATTTAATGAATATATGTTATTTTTGCACTAATATCAGAGAACATTACATAAATGGTACTTTTTATATGCAAGCATACCACTTGTCACACAAATCCCTGCAACAACCCAAGCCAAATAAAATGAAAAAGTCAACACATCAAAAGCACAAGAAGTGTTAAGAAAAGAGTAACAAAAAAATACAGTTCCAAAGCTGCTACCAGCGATCCACCACAACCATCAAGATAAATACACTCCTGCATCTGTAAAAAACAAAGAGAAATACATTTGATGGCTAGCCCCAAACTGTTGCTGCACAAAAAAACTTCAAGCAGACCTTAAAACCCCCTGAACCTCAAGATGTAGAAAGCCATGACATGTGACCCAGATGGATCTCTGTTTCACCACAACGCTTCATAGAAGACATGGAACCTCAAAAGGAGATGCAACCTAGACACTTCAAAAGATTTGCCTGCACACACACACACATAAAAAAGCCATACGTCCATTATCTTTACCCACTTCTTCTATTTCAGGTCATGGGGATCACTGGTGCCCATGTCCAACAGTCACTGTGCAAGACACGTGGGGCACCCTGGGCAGGTCACAAGTCCACCACAGGGACACATAGGGATAAATGAGACAAACAACCATTCACTCTCTCACTCACACCTAGGGACAATTTTGAGTTACCAATCAGTCTAACATGCATGTTTTTGGTTTGTGGGAGGAAACTGGAGTAAACCCATGCATGCACGAAGAGAGCATGCCAACTCCACCAAGAATGGACCCCCAGCCGGGTTTAAATCTAGCGACCTTGTCTTTAAAAGGTGGCAATTCTACCAACTGTACCACCATGTCTCCCATACACAAAACAAACAAACAAAAATAAAGCAAAGACCAAAGAAACCTGGACATGCAGCTTCCACACCCTGAGGAAACCCTGGAAAAATCAGCAAGTGCTACATCAGTGAGAGACATTTAGGAAAACATGACCAATAAATGAAAACACACTAATGTTCATTCTGCTCACAGATCTAATAGAGCAAAACAGAGTTTAGGTTAACAAAACCCATGTTTTTTTTTATTTATTATTACACATTCTAAAAATGAACATTGATCACACATTTTGGAGAGAGTGCTGTGAAGCTGCTTGCCTGGGTGAGAAAAGTTACGGTATAAAAGTAGAATAACAAATTTTAGATTGTAAGGTTTTTTTGTTCTGCCCGTTTCTTTTTGTAACTTTTCATGTATCTTTCCATGTAAGCGTCCCCACTTTCCCCACTGTATTATTCATGTTTACTGCGCTACTTTCATTCACTGCAAGGCCATCATTTGCCAGAGCACATTGTGTGCATATTCGATTTGCTCCAATATTAAAAGAACAAAAAATCGTAAATCTGTACAGAGAGCTCATAAAAGTGACATTTAAATATTTAACTGTGTGCTCAAAAAGCACTTAACAACTGGAAGCTACAAGATGAGGGTATAATCAGAAATAGTTCTCTTGCAACATTAGAAGGAAAGTCATAGAACTAAAAAGGTCAATCAGAATCCAAACAGAAGCTGATGACTCTCTACCAATAGTCTTTGTGACAAATATATTCCTTGAAAGGCTGCATATCATCAGCAGATCAGAAGTTGTTGATAATTAAATAAACAAAACTTGACTTTTAGTATGATAATAAAACCTTAAATGGACCTTGTTGCAGCAAAGTTAAAACTTGAAATCATTTCCATGTGGATAATATTGCATGCATTATTAAACCATCCATCTATGCTGATGGCTTCCATCTTTAGCTATTAAATGTTCAACCAAAATATATATTCGCTATAAAAGCACTTCAACGAAGCGCTGAGGTTTAGATCATCAGTGTGGTGGTGATTTTTCTCACCAGCATGGCATGCCCTACTTTGTGAATCAACAGTGAAAATAGATTCACTTAGATGAATAGATGCATAGAATACACCTCTAGATGCAGGAAGAGGGCCACCTGCATCATGAAGGACCCCACTCACCCAGCATACATACTTTCTGCCCCGCTCCTCTCAGGAAGGAGGTTGAGGAGCATTAAGTGTAGAACCACTAGACTGAGGAACAGCTTCTACCCTGAGGCTGTTAGACTCATGAATCTCTAATCAGGATAACCACTGTGAAAAATCACATGTTGCTGCTGATCTGTTTCATGTTACTGTGTTCATACGTGCTCATCTGCTCACACATACTCATGTTCATGCTGCTGTTCGGCGTATAGGTTTTATGCTATTAGTGTTTAGCGTATTTTTAGTTGATGTTTTTCTTAGGTCATATCTTAGATCTTAATGTTTTTATTTTACATTTTATTGTTGGATGTAACTGGGACCCTGTGTATTCAATTTCGTTCCACCACATGTACCACATGTGGTGCGAATGACAATAAAGAAACGCTGACTCTAGCTATGTTTACGTGCGTAAAATTATTTGACCAGATTGAAATGTTTTCAGATTAAATAATTCAAATGTATAGTTTATGGGCTTTAATTCTGAATAGAAGTACTGACATGTGCAGAGTGGTAAACTTTCCTTAAAGAAACACCAAAAAAGTAGTTCTACTTCGGGGATGAACGTAAACAAACCTGAGCGCCCAAAATGGACGTGCGACAGGTTTTAATGACGGTGGAGACGTTACTGCACTCCCTGACTGAGCTACAGATAATACAGATCATTTTGAGCTCTTTCAAAGTTTCGAGTAGAAATGTTGAGTCGCTCACTGACCAGTTTTGCTTCCACCAACATGCTAATATTATTAGCATTAGCCAGGCAGAAATGACATAGGTCGCACATGCGCAGTCAGGTCAGGTTTTTTTTCCACAATCGGAAAAAAAAAATGAACAGATTAAGTGTTTACATGTACATGCACATTGTTTGGATTATGAATCAGCATAAACCACCCGTCTCATTTTGATTACAAATGATTTCTGATCTAACTGAATAAACAAAAAATAATCTGAATGGGGCGTTTACATGACCCATTTTAATTCTGAATGGCCGTTAAATCCGATTACTTATGTCCATGTAAACATAGCTTCTGACTCTGACTGACTTTGACATGTCAGGGTTGGGCTTGTCTCTGCTGATTGTTTTTTT